GGGATCCTAGGGAGTGACAGCAACTTTCACTGGGGTCTTAAGTAATCACATTGACTTTCATTGAACTCACAGCGACTTTCACTGGGGTCCTAGGAAAACACATGCAACCTTAAAATCATCAAATCACAAAAATTCCTTGCAGCGAAAATTAATCAATTTAAAGTACATGTATTTGCTCTATTAATGCTACATAGTAAAGTAATCGACATAACAGATGACAATTTGATGTTGTCTCCAAATATTACAAATAGATCAGTATATTAATTGTACATGTCAGTTTAATAGGTACGTATTATATATCTTAGTCTCTAGAAGCAGTCTACACTGGTTTAATGCAAGCTGCTGGTGCTGCCGAGAAAGTGTTTGAACTCATGGACAGAGAGCCAAAGATCACTAATACCGGTAGATTAATGCCTGGTAATGTCCAAGGACAAATTGAGTTTAAAAATGTCTCATTTACATATCCATCAAGACCTGATGTATGTGTACTCAAGGTAAATAATACAGTACATTTTAGTGTTATGTGATAGCAATGTCATGCTCACTGTGCTCATCTAGATTGTACTTTTTGAGCACCATTTTATTCTGCAAAATTTTCATATTTTTATGTATTTTTCTATATTTTCATCAAGACCTGATATATGTGTACTCAAGGTAAATAGTACAGTACATGTTAGTGCTATGTGAAAGAGACAGCAATGTCATGCTCACTGTGCTCATCTATATTGTACTTTTTGAGCACCATTTTTTTTTGGCAATATTTTCATATTTTTCCATATTTGTTGGATAATTGTGGACCAAATAGATATAATTACCTTGCCCGTACCATCAAAGATGGATGGGAAAGGTATATTAAAGGAAAAATTTTGTCCGGCGTTGTCGTTGTTGTTGTTGTTGTCGTCGTCGTCGTTAATAATTGTTATTGTGTGCATAATAACTTTACTAATTCTATTCCAAACTTTATCAAACTTGGTCACCTTATTCATCAGTATAAAGTCTTCCCTGAGTTTGAACAACAGATGTCCTGTATGAAAATATCATGCAAAAATTGAGAAAATCTGATAAAATATTTTGACTGTTTCTACTTGATTGATCACTGGTGATACACATCAAAGGTCACTGATCTCAGTGGAAATATGCATTGTTGTATGTGTTCAATGAAGCAAATGATTTATCTTGTAATAATATCCTTGGTAATGTATCTCAGAATCCCATACTGGGTTTCAAAACCAACTCATGAAGAGATTGCACAGTCTGATACACATTTGCAAACCTACCAATAAAATCTTTACAGAAAACAAGATGTCAGAAAATCAATATAAGCACTCCTATGAACTGGGTGCCTAACTTTGATCAAGATCTGAAGCTAATAGAAAATCTGTTTAGTTCAAAGTTATCAAATCAAAAACAAAGCATAAAAAATACATTAAAAGCAAAACATTTCATCCACATTTTAAAAAGAAAATTATTCTAAAATATATGTATTCTGTATTTGACAAATGAAAACTCACAGGAATATGTTTCAGCTATTAGAACAGAATGAGAGTTTTTATATTACTAGTTTAAAAACGCACTTCAGAGATTGCAGTGTTTGAAGATGTAGTTTCTCAGGAGGCAACAGTACTATTGACTTCTCCCTCCACTGGACACCAACTATTTAAGTTGATTTGCATACAAAGCAGAGCTTGCAACATGATAGCTATTCATAAAGGGTGTTTTTTTTTACTTTTCATATAATACAGTAGTCACACAATGAGGCAGTTCATATTTGTCTCAGTGAATCATTCATTTTTGACAGACACCTGTACAAAATACTTGGACTAAAGCCAACTAAATTTTTCTGTTATCTTGCATGTTTTATGAATCTATTCACATCTAAATGCAGCACTTTTTTTTGCAATGAGACATTTGTTTTTATTCTAAAATATCTTAATTACTTTCAATGAAGCTGGAAATTATGTTCCTTAAAATAATTAAACAAATAAGGCACCAATGTTTTTGTAAGATATTTACATCTTTTAAGGACATTCGGTAGACTGATTCCCCACTGTTGGTTCAACCCCAAAACTTGTTTGTATTCAAAATTAATTATGACAATGCATATTTATATTGAAACAAACTATGATAAAGGGAATTATATTATATAACAAAGGGCAAGGTCACCAGAGTTCAACTATGTTTTTCTCCTTGCTACAAGTCCTGACCAGAAATATTAAAAGATTATGAAAAATTATGTGGGTTTAAAATTTGTAAAGGGAGACAATTGTTGAATTTATTATGTAAATCATATATCCAGTTTTCATTTCCCTAAAATATAACATAACTATTACAACCTTGCTCATTGAAAATTTAGATAATATAACAAATGGATGGATGGATACAAATGATGCATGATCTTTTTGTTTTGTATGGTAAATGTGAGTATAAAAGTCCTGAAATAAAAATGTCAAAATATATTTGAACATTTTTGGGAAAAATACTGGCTAGATTTCAGGTGTGAACAATTGTGACCAAAAATGGACAAGAACAATAAAGATATACCAGAAATACTAGCCAAACAAGTTCCTCAATACTACCTACATGTACCTGGTACTGTATTACTGGTAAAATAACTTACGGAATAATATAATATAATATAGTTGTATAGAAGTTTCTAAAAATAATAGTACAGCAACATATTTTAAGCAAAACAGTCGCCCACTGTGCCAAGTTCTTAATACCTTCAATACAAGTACATACAAATGGACATAGAAGACACTTGCATAAAAAAAAATATGCATTTCTTACATATCAGGCTGTCCAAACTACAAATCGCAGCTCCAAGAAAATCATATCCAGGCAAAACAGCTGTGGTATTTTAGATTTATATTTTGCCACCTGAGCCCTTGACACTTATTTGTATACGCTGGAGTTAGTGTTAGAAAAGTCTGAGCATATTCAGTCAATGCATCTACTTAGGAAATAAAGCATAGCACTATGCCCATTATTGTGTCATAACAGGACAAGGACAAGATGTGTACAATAATAGACACAATAGAGTTCATTATTTAAGCATCCCCATCTACGTCCTG